TTATGCAAGGTAGAGTATTAATAGTCCACATTGTAAAGCCAACAAACCAAGCATTTGTGTACTTTCCAGCCTCATATTTGGTCAAATTTTGTCCACCGCCTTTGTTTTGTTTCTATTTAGAGGCATTTATACACATGGCTGTAAAACTGCACTCTTTGTGTCTTTCCTTTCCTATAAAACATAGATGCCATAGCTTGCCAAACACACAGAACCAGTTACTCAACAGAAAAACAGGTTTTAGATCATTTTATACAAACAAACCAATTTGTATAAAATGACTCACAATAGGATGCCCTATTTCCATTTAACGAGAGATTTGTAAAAAGGATGTTTGTGTACAGAGAAAGTAGTTTCACAAAGAAAAGCAGTAAGAAGGTGCCGCTCTCTGAAGGTCGTTTTCTGTCTAGCATTTAATGACTTATATCTGATTGTTGATTCACTGATTGTCTGGGATGTAAAACGTTCATTTCCTCCTTTTTTTCTTTTCTCCTTTTCAATTCCTATGCGAGCGGTTTAGGAGATGACTGGGGTTGCTTATTTTGTCTGCAAAAGTCCTTGTGTTGTATTACACTGACTCCACCGTGTGGCAAAGCAGAGGAAATTCCTCAAAGGATCAAACACCGGAGATACAATCAACACCTGTTGTGACACCTGAGGATCAAAGTGTCTAATCTGGAATCAAGGGGCAGCAGGAGGACGAGGAGTGGGATTAGCTCCTCTTTGCTCACCATCTTTTCCAAATGGTGGGATTGTGCCTTTCTTAGGATGTACTTCAAGGAATTATTTGCATTAGCTCTCACTGTGGTTGTACAGGGACTGAATCACCCATAAAGTTTTATAGTTGAATGACAGTTTTATATTATTATATTAAAGATATACATGGAAAAAAAGATAATAGGGGAAAAGCTGGGAGCCGAGGCTCAAGATGATACTGACAACCTTAAAGCTGCTTAAAAGGGAAAAACAATATTTCACATGATGTTTCCTTACTGTTAATGCTGCTGTTTACTCTATCTGTACCAGATTTTAGACAGGACATAGTTTTTATTAGGTGAAGTTTTTGTTATTGAACTTCCCAACATGATCTCAACCATACTCGAGATGCTGACTCACAGTCAAAACAAATATTGCACTGTCTCAAACACAAATGCCTCATACACCTGAAAGATACCGAGGGGTGTGTGAATGTACACTGACTTTTCTGCTTTCTTCTCACTGTTCACACATAATATTTCATTTCAGATTTTCAGAGGTCAAAGCTTTGCCACCCAGAACTCTTCACGCTTAATTAAGTTGCCTTTGAAAATAATTTTCTGCATGATATTCACACTGAGTTTAGGAAATCAAGGAAATCTATTATCTTGCCTGGCTGTGTGATACAGATGGGGGATCATGTGAAATTGAGGCATGAATGTTATGTCAATAAGAATTTAAAATGCTTTGTTTTAAATAAGTAGATGCTACATATATCCTCGAGCTCCACATTACAGCCAAAACATATGACTGTCATCTGGTGGATTTAAAGGTTGTGGTTCTCATTGCTTACCAAAAAGCCTCCATTTCAACCAAAGAATTGTCCGTTTCTATATAACAGAAACAAAAATATGATGTTTTCAGAGTTTCCCTTTAAATGTAAAACTATCTACAGCAGATGAAAAGTATCTGAGAGTCATGTTATTAAAAAACAGGGGAACAAAATTCACCAAAGACCTGACAGGACCTGCGCCATCTACACCGTTCACTGAAGCATCATCAGAAATATTCTCAGTGGAAGCATGGTAGTCGAGAAACCATTCTCAAGGAAGGAAACAGGGAGAAAAGGCACAGGCATGCCAAGTTACATAAAAACTGTTCTAAAAATCAGTGACAATAAGTCTTCTGGAGTGATGAATCAAAATCATCAGCTGCTGATGATTTTGAAGCAAAAACCTTACATTTGGATTTGGATTGCTATAGAGGAGGTCAGGAGTGAGGTGAGTGCCTACAGCCTCTGTAAAACACGAGGGTTTGTGGCTTCATTTCAGCAACTGCTGTTCTGCATAGAAAAGTGCTGTGAAATTTTAATCCAGCATGAAATACCATTTGGAAAGTTTCTGGGAACAGCATTTGTTTTAGCATCACAATAATCCCAAACACATTCTCAATGCATTGGAAGCTCACCTGGATAGAAAACACACACAGTGAAAAACTATCAGTCATGGATTGGCCTCCTCAGAGCCTGAACCTCAACCTTAGTGTGGGAGAAATTTGACAGAGAACACAACAAAAGGCAAAACATTCAAAGAAGAGCTTTGAATGTCCTTCAAGAAGCCTGGAGAACTATTCCTGAAGACTATTTAAAGAAGTAAGCTGTCTAAGAAAGTTCAGGCTGTGTCAAAAGATAAAGATGGTCATAATAAATATTGACTGTCATGTTCGTTAGAACTGAACAAACTAAAACATATCGCTGCATTTATTTAGCAGTTTTCTAGCAAAATATAAAGAAAAGAGTGGTGACTGATTTGTGCATACTTCTTTACTGATAACTGTACTTACTGTTTATAGATAGCAGTGGTTACAGTTTTACATCAGAACTGGTGCAAGTTAAGGTCAAGTACAGGGTGGGCCATTTATATGGATACACCGTAATAA